TGGTGCTTCAAGGTGCTGGTTTAGAGGCGTGAATATGCGTAATAAAACCCTAAAATATAAACCGTATAATCTTTAAACGGATGTTGACATCCGTTTTCCCTTAAACGGATGTGGACATCCGTTGATGAATGCTCACATCCGTTTAAAGATTATACGATTTATATTTTACAGTTTTTTTTATATTAATTTTAAAGATATTTAAATAATATAATTTATATTTTTTGATATATTATTTTTGAATATATTTTGATGTATTTTAATAATGTATTTTTGAGGATCTTTAGCATTAAAGGAGGAAGAAAACGGATATGGAGAAAAAATGGAAGATGAGAAACTTATGTGATGGAGTTTGGGTGAGAATCTGAGAGGGTTGGGAGGTGGGTGAGAAGGGGTAGAAAGATAGATTTTAAGGTTAAAGTAAATAATTAGGATTAAAAAGTAAAAATGTTATTTTTGTAATTATAAAAGGTTAGTTTTGTAATTCAAAAAATATGTAATAGAATTGGGGAGGTGGAGGGAGAAAATGTGGTGGTGGAGGAAGTAACACCCAAAAACGAAGGGTTTTTTTTTCCAGCACCTCCAAGTTGAGGGTTTCATCCTGCATCTCCAAGCTCTTCGTCCTGCACCTCCAATGGATATGGGGGCACTGTAATTATATTTTAATCTAAATTACTTTTATTAATTTTAATAAATTCATATTAATTAAAAATTATATTACTATTTATAAACATTTAAAAAATTATACACAATTTTAAAAATAATTATAAACTAATAAAATAATTATAACTGTAATATAATTAAAGTTTTATATATAACATATTAAACCTACTTATATCCGAAATCTTCATCGTCGGTTCTTCGCATCCGATTTCTACGAATTAGGATTTTCATATTGATACTTTCATTTTCAATTTTGTATATTCAAAATTAATTTTAGTACATTCATAAAATTATTTTATATTAATTAAAAATTATATAATACATTATAAATTCATACATAAAATGTCAAAAAATTTAAACTGATATAAGAACTATTGAAAATAAATTAAAACTAATATATGAAATATATAATGTTCTTAGACAGCACATATGAATATAATAAAGTTTCGCATATCCAATTCTGAATCTTCTAAAATAGATGACCATATCCGAGACACCTGCGTCGCCTCTCCATAATCGAGTTTAATTTCGATTTTTTATTTCATGCAAACAAATTAACGGAAATAAAATACCTCAGATTAAAAAATACTAACCTTCTTGTACAATAAGAACACAAAGAAGAATAATGAAGAATGAGCTAACACGGCGAGTGCACAGATGCAAGGGTGTAGGGATGCCAAGTGCAGCAGAAATACATGTTTGATGATTGGAGAAAAATGAAGGTGGAATCAATGCTGTGCACAAAAATCCTTAATAATAAAAAATTAAACTTTTAAATCACTTATTAATTAAGGACATTTTAGGAAATTGGAGGTGTAGAATGAAAACCTTGGAGGTGCAGGGTGAAGCACTCCTCCAAGTTTTACTGTGAAGATAAATTTATCTTTCGAAATATATATATATATCTATATTTATCTTTTGAAATTTTATGTTTATTTAGGTTGAAATTTTATATTTATTTCATTTTGGTTGTATTAGATTATGAAATTCAATTTATAAAATTTAAAATCTATTTAGAAAACTCACCTAATTTTAAAACTCAATTTAGGAAATTAATAGACTTCGAGATCCAATTTAAAAACTCAACAAATTTTGAAATTCAGTGAAAATTTCTTCCAAATTTTAAAATACGATTAACATTTTTCTCAGATTTTGAAACTTGATTAACAACTTCATTTGGATTTTGAAATTTGGTATTTATTTCTTCCGGATTTCAAAATGCGATATTAATTTTTTTTCTTTTTATATGTTTTTTAATTTTTTTATTTTTTTAAAATTCGTTTTATCACTTTTGTTTTAATAATTTCTCCATGTGAATATTTTATAAGTAGTTATATTCTAAGATAGAAGATGATCTTTTCATATATGAATTATTTAAAATTAAATTCGAATTTTATGTCATTGATTTTATAAATAAAATGTGGAAAAGAGATTATACAAATGATTTTGTAATTAATCAATTTATTTTTTATTTTAGTTAATTTAAGAAGGTTCGAGAGATTAGTGTTTATTTTGGTTTTATTAATATTAGTGTCATCAAAATTGGTTGAAACGTGTGAGCTAACCCGGCTCACCACAGGTTTGAGTTGGGTTGGATTGGAAAAAATACAAAATTTTTTATGTGAGCCAATTTTGACTCGGCTCACACGGGTTGAACCCGTGGTGGGTCGGGTTAGCTCACCACCCACCTATTTTTTTAATTAAATCAAATTAATTAAATTAATTACTCAAATCCTTTATTTATTGAAATCAAATTAATTAAATTAATTATTCAAAATACACAATCTTTACTTAGCAATAGAGTGTTTTGCGTTGCTGTCTTTCCAAAAGTTCCCCTATCCAAATAAAACCCTAAGATTATAGATTAGATAATATTATACATGGAGATAAAGAGGAAGATGCTTCGAGAGAGCATAATACTGTGAATTTATCCATTCAAGACTTCAATTTAGTAGATGGATAATATTATAGATTGAATAATTCAGGAATATATCATTTGTGTTTTTAGACCTATCTACAAGCATGACAGTTTTATCTTGTGCTATATATTTTTGTTAACAGTTATATGTAGTTTCTTGGTCAAACGGTTGTGAATGTCTCATTAAACTAAATTGACAAAATTTTATGCTTGATAGCTTAAAATATATATAACAATATATTTCTTTTGTTTCATTTTCTTTTATATCAATTGGTCCAATTATTACTGTTTTAATTTGATCGATCAAAGTAACATGTTATAAGTTATAAGAATTTCAAAAGAAGAGAGTGACAAAAAATTAAGTGAGCCAATGAGTCAACTCATTTAACCCACCAACCCGTGATGGATCGGATCGAGTTTGAATTTTTTTCGGTTCGTTAATAAATGAGTTAGATTGAATTGACTCACTAAGTGACCAATCCATGGTGGATCGGATCGAGTTACCTGTTTTGACAGTAATTAATATCATTATAAGATATAACAAAGATGTGAAAAAAATATTTATATTTTTAGAATGTAAAAGAAATAAAAAGTATAATAAATATAAATATAATGTTGATCCTAATATATCAAACACACAACAAAAAAATATATAGAATGTCCTTTTATATGGAAAAAGAATTAATTTCTAACAAGAAAGATGTAATATCATAACTATAATTTGTCAGAATATAATTTATCATTGGAAGTTAAATTTGACTCTGTCAGTTATTGCCTGTCCATGTAAACGCATTAATTAAGAATCAAGATCAAAATTATTCTCCCTCCATTTTATATCTAGAAGATACCTTTGTCATACACACCATGTGCACTTTTATCACAAAACCAGACAACAATGAAAGATTTTGTTACATAAGTTAACAGCATTGCAGCCTTTCGTTAACCAATCCATCAAAGAATTACTCATGCATGCATGCATTTCTCCCAGGTATGGTTAATGCACGATGATGTCACTCGAAATAGGTGCTACAAATTTCATTTTCTTTATATGTTTTTTATATACATTTTACTCTTTGAAAATATAAGAATAAGAATGTTATTATTTTTTTATAGTTTAATATTAATAATATTTTTTTTCTATATTTATATTAATTATTCAATATTTTTTTATTTAGTGTGTATAGTATATTTTGTAAAAATATCTGATATGATATTTTTTTTATTTATATCATCTAGAAAATGATAAATTGGCATTTAATATAACTACTTCTTTTTATGCATTTATTGGTCAATCTCAATATATAAAGAGAAGAACGACACCAAAAGAAAAAATCACATTAAATATATTTTTTAGAAAATATAAAAACCTTATTAAGTACAAATAAATAAATAAAAAGTATTGAATAAAAAATTTATTACTACAAACATAATATTAAACTTATTTTTTTCTTATGACACGTTTTTTTAATATAAAACTGAATCGTATTTATGAATTTTTAGTTATATAAAAACTTATTCTTCCATCACACAATAAAAATAGAAATTCATCAATAATTTTTTTTGACATAATCCAAATGAGAGAAACACATGATATAAACAAAATAAGAATAAACTCATTCTTAGAATTGTAGTGTGTATCGTCAGAGTTATTTACATTAATAAATGACAAATCAATCATATAAATAAACAAATTTAGTAATATCATTAGAACGATATTAAATTTTGTTAATCATATAAAAGAATTTAAAGAAAAAATTTGTTCAAATTAACCGCACCAATACTCCCACGACAAAACAACTATGAATAGTTTTCACTAACGTGTTGCTATTATGTATATTTTTCTTCTTCTAAAGTGAGATATATGACATTTATAGGTAGTAAAGTAATAATGTAGCACTTTGAAAATTCTAACAGAGCTTCTATGATTGGGTGTTGTTAAAGTTGTCATGTGATTAACACTTTTGGAATATAGTAGATCGCACTACCTAGAATGGTCCTTTTATTTTGGCCTAGGATGTGCTAGAATGTAAAAGAACATAACATAATAGTTTGTTTCAAGAATATAATGTTTTTATAATGTGAAAAAGTAGCCTCTTCTGGATGTGTTTGGAATGTAACCAAGACTTTCATCTTCCAATCATATTTCAACACCACAACATCCACTTTCGGGAGACAAATCATTGAGGTTAATGTACTAATATCCATACGAGTAAAGGAGATTGAGGTTAAAACTTACTTCTTCCAATAGTAGTTAACTTAAATTTCAATATATTTCGTTAGTTGCTATGAAGTCTCAAGAGATTTCCAAAAGATCTTCAAATGTTCCTTCATTTTCCATGTATTAAAATCTTATAGTAATCAATAACAATTCCAACCGAAGCAATTCAGGATGAACACAATACCAATAAAAAAATTCCAGATATATGTAAAATCTGTCACAAGATCATGTTAGAAGTTATTTTTACCAAAAGTTGTAAATTGATGAAAGCAAGGAATGGCAAACACAACCTTGCAGTGCATCAATAACCAAGTTCTTCAGACAACAAAGTTAAATGTTCATTATCATCATTTTCCAATGCTAGGAGATCTTCTTCAACACCCTCGTTCAGAAGTTCTTCCCACAGTACTTCCTCAATGCCTTCATTTCTATTTTCATCTTCACCTCCTTTCTCCTCTTCACCACAAATGTTCTCTTGGCTTCCACTTTGTTCCTCCATTTCCATAGCAAGCTCTATGTCAGAAACCTCAAGCTCTGAAATCTCATTGTACTCCTCCTGTTCAAGTTTAACCAAAACTGAACATTCTTCAGCATCACAAATAGGCCTTCTTCTCTTGTTGGAAATAGCTTCCTCCAGCTCCTTCCTCCACTCCCTTTCTTGAACCAATTGTTGCAAGAAGTTGGGGTTCTGCATTGCCCTTGCCAAGAACTTCATCATCTGCTGCTGTTTCTGTTCAGTCTTTTTGAGCCTACTTTCCATTGATTGAAGGTGGTTTTTTGTGTTCTGCTGTTGCTGTCTAAGTTTCATCAGCTCCATCATCAGAACCTGCTTGTCACGTCTCAATCCATCGATTTCTCCATCTAATCCAAACCTCCCCACTTCAACACAATGGTCCATAGATTGTTGTGCTGCCTGAGGTTGCTCACTGCTCTTCCTCCTCCTTATGATCTTCAATAGATGCCTTTGTCCTCTAAGGAAACCTTCATTAGCAAACTCCCATTTGTCAGGATCCACCTTTCTAAACCTCTACAACAACACCAAGTTCCTTCTTTTCAAATCTCACTATGGCAACAAAGAATTCAGACAGACCCAATTAATTACTAATCAATATAACACATTCATACATTCATGGTTTTCAATAGCTGTTTACAACCTCTGTGTTGAAAAGAATATATTCATTGCAGTTACTCATAATATTCTTCAGTTTCATTAATCACAATGCAAGAAATTCTCAGTTCAAAACGGCATGGATTCGACACTGCAACATGAATGCAGATGAGAAGAAATAGTCTCATTTTTCATATGGATCACAATACCACACCACGTGATCTAAACAAAACTGTTGTGTGTGTACATACATCACTGTTTCCGTTCTTCATCAGAATTAAAACAGTTAATAACAATATACGATGATGTCATGTGGATCATACTATGTATATATAGTATAAGCACGTATTGAGAGAGAGAGGGAGTGATATACATACATAGGTGTTGAGCTGTCTGACAAAGCTGGAGAAGTTGTTGTGTTTGAAGTATTTGGGGAGAAGAGAGATGGAAAAAGCTTGAGGATCCCACACAACGAAGCTGTTGTTTGCTCTGCTCCATGAAACTATCTCATCAGTGGAAACATCATCAACTATGTCATAAGTCTTTGTGAGGAATGGTGGAGGACCACTTTCATGAAGCCCCTCAAGCGGCTGTGGAGCAACCAACCCTTCACCAGGAAACTCCTCCTTCACAATCACAGGACCATCATCGATACGATTCATATTTGGAATATTCAAACAACGATCTGGGGTGCTGAAAAACGATGGCTTTGGCTTTGATTTTTCAATGTCAAGCTCTCTCTCTCAACAAGGTGATGATCAGTGTCTACTATTTAGTTATCTAAAATGGAGCTGCTTTGGAGTGAAATTCAAACGAAAATTGGATTCAAAGGGTGGCACCGTAAGATAAAGGAGTGTTTTGGTTTGTGATCTTACATGGATTTGGAACACAATAAGAGGTGGTTGGAAACTCTTCCGACCAGCTTTTAATAAGAATTTTATTAAAATAAAATATGAATGAGTTCATGTTTAAAAAGTTTCTTTTTTGTCTGTTACTGAAAATTATTTTTACTTTATATGTAAATTAATTTTAATTTAAAAAAATTAATTCAATTTATATATATAAATAGTATGTGTTGTTTTTGTTCTTTTTCTTTTTTGCAGTTCTTTCTTTATGAAGATCACATGACTGTTTGAAAGGAACAGGACGGCAGGTGGCAACCATATATTTCTCGTTTCTATGTTTCACTGTGTGATTTCATTAATTATTTTTAATTTTTCTTTTTTGTTTCTTTTAGACACTGATATTAAACAAGTGTTGAAAATGTGCTACCCATGTTGGCTTTCATATTGATGTTTACTTATTTGTATGTTTTTATTTTTTAAAATTCTTCATCAAGTTTTCTGTAACATCCCAAAAATACAGTAATAAAACCATACAATAGAATAATCACATTAATTAATATATCAGTTCAGTCTTAACATTAAAGAATACTTGCTGTTCTGACCGAATGTCCTTAAACAGTAAGAGTTCAAATTTGACTTATACAACAATACGAAACTGACCGAACGACACCTTATACTAACTAATCTATACTACTAACCGAACGTACTACGGTTCGGCCTTAACTTCAACTTCCACGAGGTTCTCTTCCTTCAAATATTGTTCTTCCAGCGCCTTTTCCAGTAGCGCGTCTCCTTGTGCTCACATCCACACGAATGATCATTGCAAGGACAAGGACGGACGTACAAACGAGACAACACAAGGAAAAACACAGGGTAAGCTTATGTAATTTAATTTAAGCAATAACATACATTTATCACATTCAAACACATCAAATACATCTCAACGTACGATTCAAGCAAGGCCTACTACTAGACTGACCGTCCGGACTGTATGAATTATGTGTAGCTACGACGTTCGTGCACCCGGGTGATGTAGTAACTAGA